TAATAATGTCTTCTTTTTCCTTTTAGCCTGCTGTGAGTCAAGAAGTCCCTTCACTCTCTGGTGGTCGTGTTTTGGCAGATGATCTAGCACTATGGCCAAAAGACTTGAATGACAAAGAACGATGCTCTATTGTCCAAAAAGGCCCTGTTCAGCTAGATATTGACTTCCCTAGAAATCCAGATGATGCAGATTTATATCTCAGGAATGGTGATATAAATCACAAAATGGTACATTTTGTCATTTAGGCTGACTTGGGGGAGGGCCCCTTTACAAAGGTTTGCCTGGGGCCCCAAAATGTCTAAGTCTGCCACTGTGTCTGAGGTTATAAAAACTGGTCTTGACCACTGCTCCAATCTGGGAATCTAATTTAAAATCACTGTCAATTTTAAAACCCAAGTTAGAAACAGTTTTCTTTACATGTGGTGCCAGAGGGCCCAGATCAACAGGGCAAGGTTCACAAGAGGCACTAGAACCAAACACCATCACTTCTGTTTTCTTTTCATTGAAATTTAAGAAGTTTAAAGACATCCAGGCTTTGATGTCTTCAAGACACAACAGAAATGGCCTAATTGAGGGGGTATCTTTCTTTTTTAGTGGCATATAGATGATAGGACCTAAACCAGCTCAGTGCAGTACCACAGATACCCACTTGGTGCTGTAAGCGTGATATTAAAATATTGTGGTCCACGGTATCAAAGGCAGCGGTTAGGTCGAGCAGGACAAGAACCACATGTTCACCAGAATCATTGGCCATAAGAATATCATTAAAAACTCTGACTAGAGCTGATTCTGTGCTGTGGCGAGTTTTGAAGCCAGACTGAAAAACCTCCAGGATATTGTGCTCATCCAGAAAACATTTGACCTGTGAATATACAATTTTTTCTAAAATTTTTGAAATAAAAGGCAGCTTGGAGATGGGCCTAAAATTAGCCAAGACAGTTTGGTCTAGGTTAGGCTTTTTAAGCAGGGGCTGCACCACAGCATGTTTAAAACTTATTGGGACACCTGAGGACAGACTGCTATTGATAACAGCAAGGATCACCTGCCTGATGCTGGAAAACACCTCTTTTAAAAGGCGAGGGGGGACAAGGTCACGAGGAAAACCTGATGATTTAATATGGCCGACCACATCCTCTAAAAGGGTCAGGGTCACTGGTTCGACTCTATCGAGCACAGCCAGGCAGGGGACCAAGCCTGTCTGGCTGCAATAGTTTTTTCATGAAACCAGGGTTCAGATCTGGCTTTAGGCCGCACCAGTTTAGATGGAACTATACAGCCCAAAATGGTTTGACAGGAGGAGTCAAACCAGGAGCTCAGCTGTTCAGTGTCAGCAGCAGAGCCAGAGGGATCACAGAGCTGTTCAAAGGCAGCAGAGAACTGACCAGCAGTGAAAGGGTTAAAAACTCTGTCGTTGGGCAGGAGCGCAGGATTTAACTGGAGCACAGGACAAACCAACATCAAATAAAACAGGCCTATGGTCAGAAATCACCTTGTCATATAGTTCCATGTCGTTCACAGACAAGCCGTGAAAGAGAACCAGGTCCAACGTGTATCCATGTTCATGTGTGGGACCAGCCACCCACTGAACCAGGTTAAGAGTCAGTGAGGCTGAGAAAGTCCTTCACCAGTGGTTTCTCTGGGCAGCATACATGTATGTTAAAATCCCCAACAATAAGGACTCGATCATAGTTTATCATTATTCCAGTCAGGAAATCAGAAAAGTCATTCAAGAAATCCTTATTATATTTAGGGGCTCTGTAGATGACAGCGCACAGCACGGGGTGCGAGCGACCCACCTCAAATAAAGTCACCTCGAAGCTGGAGAAAGAAGACGGTGCAGTGCACTGCTTGCATTTAAAGTTGTTTTTATAAACCAGCGCCGTTCCTCCTACACGGCCTGACATCCGAGGTGAGCTTAGATAAGAGGAGCCATCTGGTAGAAGTTCAACAAAAACACTGGAGTCATCAGCCTCAACCCAAGTCTCTGTGATGCAGAGCAAATCCAAATGATGTTTCAAAGACATAAGCAGGCAAGTGATTAGTGTACATAAAACAGACATCCCTACAGATAATAGTTTAGCTCAAAATAGCTACAGTAAATATATAGAAAGCCCTGACAAACGTTGGTTACGTACTGTAACCCCAGATTCTATGAATATAGGCGTAGCCCTTTAAAAGCTGTCGCTGGTGGGTTTTTCCCGTCATGCAAAGCATTGCACTAAAAAAATTAGTCCACGCCCACGTGTTGTGTGGGCCCCACCCGGTCCATATAAATTACGTTAAGAGCGGGTAATCGGCTCCCAAATAGCTTTTTCTTCAGCCATTTAGGAGCCAGTGAGGCCCGACGCTTAAAGGGCTATGCCTATACTCATAGAATCTGGGGTTACAGTACGTAACCAACGTTCTATTTCGTATAGGCTTTGCCCTTTAAGAGCTGTCGCTGGTGGATTAAGGGCGAAGCAGATGTAGTCTCCGCCTCACTGGGTCCATTCAAACACCATAAGAAGTGCCCGCTTGCCCAAAAAAACATCTTGTCACTCAGCTCTCCATGTGCGTAAATACGCATTGCGTAATTATGCGCACCATGCACAGATGCACATTGCGTAATTTACGCATTCCGAGTGCATGAATGCCCCGGAAAGGTTTTCAATAGAAAAGAGGAGAGGCTGAAAAAGGCTGTGAACAGTGCAGATCCACGGCTCTTCAATATGGACTTATTAATAATAAATGAACTGATTATTAATCAAATGAACTGATTGATGACAGTAGTCATCGACTGATTAATAACCATAGAACAAGAACAACAGTCATAACCTGTGACTGATAACATCTCACACTGTAAATGCATGCAGTCAGATGCGAGTTTAAACAAGATTCCATGAAACAATATTCATTCTGTTAAGGCACTAAGGACACAATGTGTCATGGAACGAGCCATCACATCATGTAAATAAAAGCAAATAAATGAACAGGGTGTTGACCACGCGGCCGCAGTGCAAATATCCTGCATTGATATACCATTATGCAAAGCAGTCGAAGATACAATACCTCTGGTCGAGTGTGCCCTGAGGTTGTCAGGAGGCTCTAAATCTGAAGCTCTGTAGGCTTCAGAAATGGCCTCACACAGCCAGTGTGACAGGTGCTGGGTGGATAACAGGCGACCTGCAGATGCATCTCTATAATGCACAAACAAATGTTGAGTCTGACGCAATGCCGCCGTGCGTGATACGTAACACATCAACGCACGTACAAGGCAGAGAAGATGGAAAGATGCTTCTTCTTCTGATTGTGGGGAGGAGAGAAAAAATCCCTCCAACGATATCACTCTTGATTTAAAAGAGCTCGTGATGTTTTTAGGCATAAACGCTGGATTAGGCCTCAGATCAGCTGAGCTGCCATCAGCCTGAATTCTGAGACATATGACGGAGCGACAGAGAGGGCAGATAAATCACTCACCCTCTTAGTGGATGATAAAGCCAACAGCAGGGCTGTTTTAAGTGACAAGAATTTAATCGGAACCTGATCTAGTGGCTCGAATGGAGCTTTGATCAGGGCTTGCAGAACCAGTGTTAAATCCCACTGTGGAACAAGTGGGCGTGAAACAGACCTGCGTCTCTGTACATCTTTTAAAAAACGCTTCATCAGCGGATGATTAAAAGCTGTTCTGTCCCCGAAACCTTCGTGACAAGAAGAGATGGCTGCAGCGTAAGTTTTAATCGTGCTGAATGCCAGATTTCTGTCCATCAGCTGCTGCAGAAAGGACAGCACGCCACCTAGTGGACATGAGGTGGCCTCTACACCTTTCTCCGTACACCAGCGTTGAAAAGCTGTCCACTATGATGGGTGCAGTGCTGTGGTAGATGCAGCACGTGAATCCTGGATCGTACGCACTACATCTTGAGAGAGACCTATCCTCTCTAAGCGGATCCGCTCAGCGGCCAGATCCAAAGGTGCTGGCCTATTTCTGGGTAACTCCTGATCGCTCCTCCTGCCTGGAGGAGAGCATCCTCCCTT